GTCCGATCCGCATTGCCGCATCCAGTCAAGCCAAGATTCGATCGCTGCTCACGCGAAGCAAAGTCCCTCTCACGCACAGCCTATCAGAGTATCGTGGGAGCGAACCTACATGGACTCGCCCTCTCACCAACGTGTTTACACGCAGCACAATCATCACTGGCCTTCGCCTTCTTCATCAAAGATGTCAGAGCGATCACAAAGCCCTGCAGGGCGATCGTCCCTGTCTGCCTCGCTGGAGCTGCCTTCCTACTGGCCTCACGGGCTACACTTGCCAGCGCCAGCACCTTCACCATCGCCAAGCTCTACTTCCATAGCACGAGCAGCTGGTCAACGAGATGCCATACATCGTCAAGTGCGGGGCTCCTTGCCTGCCAGCTCTCCGCCTGCACCCATCGACCCTCTCTATCAGGCGCCAGTGCTGGACTCTGCGGGACGACCTCGACCGACATTGAGCGTGGAGGCACTCTCCAACGTGTCCCTGCCCGACTTGAGAGAGCTGCCGGAGGAGACTATCAGGAAGCGACCTCCGATACTGCCTCGTGAGCCACTTTCCCCTCATGACATACGACATCGAGACGTGTGGCGTGACCTACCGGACTCGAAGAGTGTGGAGCGCTTTAGCGAGCGCACGCATCACCGCCAATCAACGGCAGAATTTCAGCAGTACGCAACCGAGATGGACGTCGATGCTGTATCATCGCATCATCCACGCACCCTTTCCAATGCGGCGCATGGGTCAAGTAGCGAGACGGGCAGATATGCTACTGGCGGACTATCAGCCACCTTCTCCAGACGCGCTCTGCCGCCGCTGACAATGCCGTCACCGTCGCCCTTCGAAAGCGATGGTTCACGGGTCATAGCCATGCAAGAAGCAGACTACGACGATTGTACTCCTGGTGAGCCGAGGGAGAAAGCTCGCCTGGCGTACTTCGTGGATGCCGACGTCTCGATGAACGGCGTCGACGAGTCGCGTAACGTCGCTCAGAGCGAGGGCATGGGCGTTTACAGCAGCGTTGACAGTCACGCCAAAGCACCCCGCATGCGAAGCTTCTCAATGACAAATGAGATGGCTCGTATATCAATAGGATCGACACATCTATCCGGACAACTGGACATCCCATCCGTCCTGCAATCCAGTCCTGATCTCTCTATTACGGCGAAGACGCGCAAGCGAAAGGCACCAGACGTGGATCTCAAGTTTGCTGCTCCCCACTATGGGGATGAGGCTTCTACGACAGCTTCCACGTGCAACAGAGCACCGGCTCCACACTCGTCGACGGCGCCGATCCCGCTGCATCGCGTCATCAGATCACACTCGCGCAGCTTCAGCTCCGCATCTCGCGGTTCAGGTCAGATAAAGATAGGATCTGCTCAGCCCAATCCCTTCACCCCCACAAGCTCGTCCGACTCTGCATCCGCTCCTCCTTCTATCATCATGACACCACGCAGCGGTATGGTGCGCTCAGCAGCTACGTGGACAAACTGGATGGAGGCGCCAATCGCGTCCCATCAGTTCTCCCCTCTAGGCACCTCCCCGCCTGCATCTGCTCCAGCTGGTGCCGCTTCGACAGCACAACCTCCACGCGACTTTCGGCACCTGAAACCTTCAGAAATGATGTGAAAAGCACAGTGCTACCGTCAACATTCCCGAGATGCCTCACCGTTCGTTGCCACCTCTGGCATCCGCTCCTCCGTACGCAGATCGAGCGAGGACGACAGTCTCAAGTGTCACCGTCGTCGCCACACCCGACTCTGCCCGACTCAAAGATCGAGGATTTTGCTAATTGTCGCCCCACCTTTTAAAGACCTTCGACAGGTCGATGTCAATTATTACCCGAGTCGCCGTCTTTTGTTCTGTCCAATCGAGTCCCACACGAGATTGCATTCGCTAGGCATGTATCCCTACCCGGCCCCTTTCCTCTCCCCGACCCTGTACCGCTAATGTGGACGTGACACAGCACCTGGTCGTGCCCTGCCCAATTTGATGTAGATTTGATTGTCCGATGCAGAGACGATGACGTTTACCATTGCACATTGTGATTGCATTTGGCCGAAATACGG